AACAAATCCAGCAGTTAGCTTCTGTTGTTGTACGTTTGCATAGTGTAAGCAGTGTTATTGTTATTTTATAAATTTATATTTTATGAACACGATTTAAAATGCGATTTCAATGATGATCAGACAATTCGTATAACAAATTTGGTTTCCCCTTATCGATTTCTGTTATTGCAAATATAGAAAATACTTGGTAATCGGAAACTTAATAAGAAAAAAAAAAGAAATCTTTAATTGACGCATTTGATTTTTATGTTACAGCTTTAAAAATAAATACTTCACGTGCAAAATATGAACAACATCTATTCTTGCTGAACGCGTTTATGAAATGTACGTTAAATACCAAAGCCATAGATTGTACACTGCTGTCTTTTTACCTTCTGTATTTCCTTATTTGAATTAATTTTTGTAACCTAGAAAATAAGACGATAATTATATTCTTTAAACAACACATATGTATTATTTAAACTACATGTATATACGCATGCAATGCTTTTTTTTTTATAGTAATATGCCGTAAAGTTAAATATTTGTTTAAAGTTATTATTTAACTACTCATGTTACTTCTCAGTTTAACCAATGATAGATTTAGCTAGGTAATTATAATCTTTGATGCTATGATTGTGTATAGATAAGTTCACGTAGTGTTAATTGTATTATAGAAGCTTAATGTACCGAAACGATAACATCTGTAATTTGATTAAATCTTGTGTGATAAATGACCTTTTAACTGGTAATGTATCACATGGGATGTGTTCACACAAAGAAAATATTTAAGATCAAATTTGATAATTTAATTCGTGAGCAGACACAATTCATTGCACGTTAAAAAATTGTAGAGTCGATTTACTTGAGCAAATATAATTACAAGATAACTTGACAAATAAGTTGCTTATACACGGGCGATGAAAAAGATCAATCTTTAACTGACAGTTTATTTATTTGTTTTAAAGTTCATAGTAAAAGTTTAAGATTTGTATGTAATTTACATAATGTTATTGTTAAGGTAGCACAATACAAAAGCAATTAAATTTTATCAAAATTTCATTTTCAGCTGCTTTTGTTACTTCTCAATATTCCAAAACCACAGAAGAAAAATTCATTTACATATCTTGAACTGTTAATGAGTTTTGATGATAATTAGTTTTATAAACAAATGCACCTGTCAGACTGATACAAGATAAGAACATGTGGGCAGTACTTTATGGTTAATCAATAGAATCATTTGATAGTTTTATGACCACTGACCAGCAATACAATTAACAATTACGAAAAAGAGGTGAATTAGGGATTAATGGAAAAATGAAGATAATGAATTCCAAATAAAAATACATTTCATTAATGGAGCTGCTAGGAGAAAAAAAAAACAAAGTAACAATTTGGAGATATAGAGGGAATCAAAATATAAATGTACAGAAATTAAACAAATGTAATTGTATAACAATTAATCTACTGGAATTTCTTGGGGGAGAATGTTTAGATGTGAATTCTTTTTAAAAGAAAATACAAATTAAATATTTCATTTTCAAACTGCAAAATCGAACAAAATCTACTTTGTTTAAAACACCATATTGTCCTTGTATACAATTACAATTCTAAAAATCCCCAATAAGGATCCCCTAAACTGACCAACTGATCATTTTGTGTACACATGCATAACTAACTTTTTGTAACAATAAAAAAACAAAATATATTATGTTATGTACTAAATGAATGAAATCCATATTGAAAAAAGTAAATGCAATGTGTAATTAAACTTCTGAGATCATTAGTAGTAAAGATTTATCATGGTGGGCGGAGTTTTGACCATATCAGTAGCAGCTGACTTACAAAAAGGTCAATAATGATATAACATCTCCCGCCAGATCTGGTTTTTGATGCATAGGGTGTGCATTTTCTCTATATATTTAGAATTGCTGAAATTGAATGCTTTCTTACTGGTCAAAACCTAATTGATTTATGATTGAAGGCCAATCCTGAAATATCCCAATGGTACATGTGTGAATTATATTGAAGTTAATGAGGTACACGTAGGAAAATCCTTATTTATTCAATTGTAACACATTCATTTATGTCGTGAAAATGTAGTTTTAAATGAATCAAGCTCCTAGATGGGTGCCCCTATATGTCTGATTTTCACACATGTTGTTCCTTGACCAGTTATCTTCAAAAGAGTGTCTCAGATTCCCAATAGAACAAATTTTATACCCAATTAAATTTAGTGATCTCATATGAATTTAGGTTGCAAACTTCATTGAAGGTGTATGAGACACCCTTTTGGAGGTCAATCTGTGTTATACAAGAATCTATAAAATATTTTGGGATGCTATGCATAACAAAGAAGCTATTTTCATTCAAGTGTGGACATCTCAATATAGCAACTAATTACATAATAATTAATTATGTAATAATTATGTCAAATTGACGTTTTCACCATTTTAAAGATTAATCTTTCTTCTTTCTTTTGGTACCTCATTTATAAAATTTAAAGCTGGATGAAAGAAATTACATCAGTTTAAAGTTGTCTGATTGGGGGTGAAAAAATATTTGTATTGTGCTACCTTAAGAGTGAACTTAATTTTAAAATTGTATTTTATGTTTTATACGGGAATAGGGTGGGTTTTTCCTTTTTTTTCTCAGTTTCCTGTACATATACTTTTGCACAAGGAATATAGTTACGATACTGGTGCCTAGTCATTAAAGATGGATTTTGCATAGTTAATATTGATTCACCCTTAGGGTTTTTTCATCGAACATATATTCTAAAACCTTGTGTTGGCATGAAACGGCCTATGTTCTTCTCGTATATTCATGATGGCATGATACTAAACCTCCGACGGGGGTATTAACGATTGATTTTTATATGTTGAAAACATAATATTTTGAACAGATGTATAGGGGTTTGATCTGGCATGTCAGTTACTCCTAGAAGTTCATTCATAATTGATGTTGATCATGGTCATTAGGCTTAGTTTCTTCTGCTACTGTTTCTGACACCAGACTCGGACTTTCTTTTAAACTAAGCGTTACTGTGCGTGTTGGTGTGTGTTTGCTTATTATTCTTAATAACCGTCCAACACACTTATCTGGATTTACCTTCAGCAAGACAATTACAAGTGAATCCTTTAAGTTCAACTTCAGATATGTTGGGATCAGTAAATAGACGGTTTTCTATAAAGATTTGTAACACTGCGGTCAATGAACGTTACATAAACCACGTAAACGACGAAAAGACAAATGTTTTGTACATGTTTGAATTTCTGTACTTCATGCAAAAATAACCAATTGTTAGCCCCCATTTTTAAAACCTATCAGTGGAATATGACATGTAATATCAACAAAATTTAAAGACATCTAATGACCCATTTATTATGTTATTTTATTTTAAAAATCATTAAATGCAAAATACTTGCTTTATAGAATACACACTCTCTTATAGTTTGATTTAAAGGGCTCGACAATTTAATGACATTATCAGAACTCTCTTAACACGTTAGTCGTAGATCACATCATCGTGCATGTCTTCATTACTTGCCTTTACATGTTCAATAAGCAGATAATTCAATGTTGCCAAAAGACATTTGGAAATACGTCTATAAATGAAGGTTTAAACATTGTTAAAAGAGGAAACCGTTGTCAGCACCCATATCATGTTATTTGAGCTATAATGATAATGCTAGAAGAAACAACACTTTGTAAACATCTAAACAGTATGAGTAGTTTTGACAGACAGTGTTAATGAGTTCTGTAGATTGGAATAGATACGAAAGAGATTTAATAGATTAGCCTTCGTTTTAAGTAGATATCAATTCTTGCTCCCACAATATGTAAAGTGTGTTTTCAAAGTTTTAATTTTTTTTTTTTTAACTTTTTGGTTGGGTTTGTTGTCTTTTTGACACATTCTCCATTTCCATTCCTAATTTTATTTCAAAAATGACGTATTTATATTTAACAATTTAAAACAAAATAATTGACTCTCTTAGTTACCTGTTTTAGAGCTGATAATTTCAGTAGTTTTTCTATTAATTCATTTTTTTTAAATTACGTAAATGTTAAACAGGCGTATGTCCATACTTTATAACTAAATATATTGAATTTCTCTGATTGTTTTATATTATGCAATAAGCGTTCGATATTGGTACAGGCTTTTGTAATATAAACGGTATGTATATGTTGATTTTATAATCTTACAATTGGGTCGATATATATCGATTCTCCTCATGAGTCATTAGATATTTCTTCATCAGATATATCTCCTGTTATGATTTAAAAGTTGTAAAATATTTTCACATCGCATAATTATTCTTACTAATTGCATTATCAGTTAGGTTTCCTTAGACGTTACACAATACTTTTAACAGCAATAATATATATATATATCTAACGTTACAGCTATATATACGGGTGCTACATGTGGAGCAGGATCTTTTTACTTTTCCGGAGCACAAGAGGTCACCCCCAGTTTGTGGTGGGGTTCGTGTTGCTTAGTCTTTAGTTTTCTATGTTGTGTCTTGTGTTTTATTATTTGTCTCTTTGTCTTTTACTTTAATGGTCATGGCGTTGTCAGTTTATATTCGATCTATGAGTTTGAATGTCCCTCTGGTATTTTTCGCCCCTCTTTTAATCAGCCACACTAAAAGTGTAATATGTTCCACAAAAGTCCGTCTGTACTGTCTGAACTTGAGCATTACGATTCTGTGAATGATACATCAACCCTCAGAAAAATGTAAATGTAAAAGGATCAGTTAGGGGTAGTGCCCCGAACGATTATTGATCCTAAATAGCTTACTAATCTCAGCAGGCATATATAAATGAATTATGCTAGCCGGGATGAAATTAATGTTAGTTTGAATTACTTAACAAAGTTAAATGCCAAATTGTAGCATTAAAGAAACTAATAAGGAAAGACTGTTTTAATACGATATGCAAAACTGCATATTTAACAAACAACGTTTGTTTAACTTTAACTCAATGGGACAACTCAGGAGGAAAATAAATCTAGAACATTTATGACATATATGTTTTAATTAAATTTAGAATTAAAGGGAGAAATAATATATTAATTATCAATTTCCTTTCTCCATCTCGTATATAAAAAGCTCATCAAAGCAACCCGGTTTATAATTTGTGTTGTTGATACACGTTTTACATATATAAAACTCATTAGTGGCGTTCAAACCAAACCATGTAATGCCATTTCATACTCGATTTTTACGAGCACTTAAGCTGAATGCTTGCCAAATGCAATCTTGTGTGACGATAAAAATTGTAAGTGATTATAATTATTCAACTTTTAATAAACAATAAATTTGTAAAACATAACATATCAATAGTTCTTAATGTCAACACAAATATGCTGACTACTGAACAGGTGAAACATCACAGTCATGTCATTTCATTGTATTTAGAGTATAGGTGTTTATATACATATTAACCATGTTACGGCCATATTGGTCAACTTGAAATTCTACGTCCTGGAAAAATTATTTAAACTTTAGTATATGAGTTCAAAATTCGAGATTCGGTTTCAATATCTGAATCAGTCTTTCCGATGAGAGTTTTTCCTTATTAAACTATCAAAGCCGTTTGATGTATTTTAAAAATAGTGAAATACGAGAGTGGAATTACCAAGGGGATAATCGAGATAGAACAGCTAACTAATTTCGAGCATATATTAAAAAAATACAATTGATGCGTTCGAAGCGCTTTTCTGATTTAGACTGAAAGGCTTATAATTAACAGTGTGAAAGCTGAAGAATTAAAGGAACATGTACACTAGGTTAATTGGCAGACAATGATTGATATAATTAAAAAAAGTCATAGTTTATCATACTCGATAAATGATATTATATAGACTGCCGTCTTAGCAATATATGTAACCTTGCATTTCTGGATTCCTAAAGTGTACATGTATGTTGTGCATAAACTTTATGCCAATATGTCATCAACTTGTATTTTACTTGTGTATAGTGTCAGTAATTTAGTGTATTGCTTTTGCGAGATGTGTTGTAAATGTATTTAAAACTTTAGAACCAACAAAGAAAGTATAACATGAAAACCTCCACCACTTTAAAAACGACATATTCGGATTAAGACATGCATTACGTCAGTAGAATGTAGGAATTAGCATCTGCATTGTTAGTTCAAATTTCAGGACAAAGCAATTTGTTCTTCATTACTGTTCTGGTTTATAATAATTTCTTGTTTGATACCATATTTGAAAATGCATTTCCCTTCAACTTTCACATAAGCTGTTCCATCGATGTCTTCTACAAATATTTCACCTTTTGCATCTGTAAACTTATCTTTCTTTTGAACTAATATTGTTCTTATTGGTGCTCTGTATTCCATCAGATATCTGTTGTTTTTTCTTTCGTAGAACTTAACTATAACTTCTCCTTTTACTGCAACCTTAGTAGTAAAAGTATACGAACTTTGCTTTTATGTTATTTGAAGTTTTGCAGTAAGCATAGATTGCTTTTCAACTAACAACATACCTTCTGCTGACCAAGTCATTGTTCTTTGATCTTCATTAACCAACGTATTTTCAACTGAGAAACCTTTAGAAAACCCACATGTCGTCTCTGCTATATCGGCAGGAGCAGATAGTGTCAGGCCAACATTGAAGCCAGTCGTATAACCTTTTGTTATTGAGCTCGTGCAAGTTCCTGTAGTCTGTTGTTCAGTTTTCAAGGAATGGTGTTGCTCTTTGTTGCTATTATTTTTGAATACTGATTCAAATAAAATATTTGATTCATATTGAACTGTTCTTGGATCTGAATATTTTAGATTCGTTGGAATGAACTTTACACCTGTCCAATCAAAATCTAACCGAACCTTTTTTACTGCCGTTGGAAAATCCTTTTGTCTACGATCGCTGTACCATTTCCAAGCCGACTCTTTAACAACGTTTTGAAGGTCGACAATATTTTTAGATATTCCTCCAGTGGCAGTCTAAATAGTAAAGGGTATATATGTTACAGAACAATATGGAATTCAGTAGAATTTAAATTCTACCAGTTCAAATTGGAATTCTAATTTTTACAAGTAGAAATTTGGAATTTCGACTTATACTTAATAGAATCTAGTACTTATTAGATTTCCATTATCTACTGTAGATAGAATTGGGATATCCAGATAATCGATTCTACTGAATTCCAATTTGGACTGTGACGTATACATGTATATAAAAAGCACAATGATGCAATTGCATAATACATACAACTTTTATTTAGTAAGAAACAGTCCTCAAAAAGAGAGGCCAAAGATACCAAAGGGACATTCAAACTCATAAGTCGAAAGAAAACTGATAGTGCAATGGATAAAAAGAGAAAACGACCAACAGACAAACGATACTACACAAAATAAAACAAAGAAAACTAAGAACTGAGCACAAGAACTTCAATAAAAACTGGAGGTTATCTCACGTGTTCCAGAAAGGTAAGCAGATCCTGATCCACTTCCAGAAAGGTAAGCAGATCCTGATCCACATTTGGCAGTCGTCGTGTTGTTCATGTTCTACAAACCAGGTATTAAGTTTAATTCGGTAGGTCACATTCGGGGAAAAGGTTACGGGATTGTAGTCACGACATTTGTGAAACGGATATTCCATAACGGTCAACCAACTCATGATGACTTCCATAAATTTTACGAAGGGATGATTTCAACTTCACCACTTTGAACTCTTGGTTTGATAGCTTCCATGTGAGCAGGAACCCTCTATCAGGAAAATCGTGATGGGACATACAACATCTGGAATATCGTATCAACTGGGAGAATAGTCAATAGCATGGAATGGAAAAATCATTTAAATCTTGATAGGAAATACTAACCCTGGAATATCGTATCAACTTGGACTAATAGCCTATAACATCGAATGGGATAAAATATGTACATCGCTGTAAAATTTAAATTCTTTTTAACATGTTTAATTTTGTTTTCTCTCAATCGATTTTTGACTTTTGAACACCGGTATACTACTGTTGCCTTTATTAAATGTTCATTTATTAAGAATTTACATGCAAAATGTAATGGACTGAATTCCACATACACAACGCTCGTTCAAAAGTTTGAAAATAAAATAAAGTTATAAACTCCAAGGAGCATGTTTGGCTATCTCTGTCATATGTGCATAAAACTGATATCAAAATCAAAATAGATAAACATTAAGGTTCAATGGGCATTGTTAACTATACATCTTGGTTTTGTTAATGTTATTTTGCTAATCCTTTTGGTTATTTAGAATTTACTCTTTGCACATTTTTTTAAACGTTTCCGCATAGAAACAAAAATATGTGTTAAAACCATCATGTAAGGCCATTATTCCTGTACTGAGTTAAGGCAAATTTTCCTGCTGATAATTATTCCTATGCAGTTCATCATTATTTACCATAGTTTTGCATAGGATGAATAAACACCGGTCTAATAATGAAAAATCCGCCATTCAGGATTTTGTATAACCATGTTAACTAACCGGACCAGAATCCTTCTGTATTCTTGAAGTACGCATCACTGAAAGAAATTATCACCATACTAATGGCTCGATACTCAGTACGCCTTTTCGAATAAATAGAAAGAAAGGAATTAGGTACTGCAATGTCATACGGTTGTAATAATACCACCAAATATGTCGGAAACTTGTCTAGTCCAGCAATCAGTGATGTGGATGTAATGCGTTTATTCATGACTAACTTAAGATCCAAACGTAGACATGGTCAAACATATTACCAGCGTTCTACTGTTAAAATATCTTCCAAATCTAGATTATATTTTGGTGGAGAGATTTGATGCCCTTCTCTCCATCATCCGCTTGAGTTATATTATAACATTCACACCATTCTATTGTCACTGCTTGTTAACGTTTGAACATGTTTAAGAGGTTATGACTTTGAAAAAGGATGCATAAATATGCTTATACCGATATACAGACTAGTGCGTCCAATATGTGATATACCCAAATCTCGTATATTTCAGCCAGTAAGATCAGAACCGCGTTACACAATGATAATGGGAAATTCCTTTCAACATTTTTTTCTAATGAATGCTATCGAGACTATAAACATCGGTTATGTTCTTCGTCAAAAATAGTAGCATCTGCAATTCCGCTTTATTTTCAAAATCAGTCTGTTCCTATTGTCTCCTATAGTTACACCAAATCTATTGCAACTAAAATATTTAATTATAAACAAGCATTGCAGGATTTAGATTAAGAAGAATACTTAAAAACCCCTCTTACATGTGATTTGTCTTTTTCCATATATCAAGAAGCCCTCTGGCCATGCAATTACTGGTGATCTAAAATTCAACACGAACATCTCAAGAAGATGATATTCATTTAGGGAGCCAAAACAAATAAATTGGAATCAAAACTTTAAAATCATTATAGACACATGATAGATTATGTGGAGGATTACGCTAAACCATGGGCAAAACGAGAAAAATGTTGAAATAGACACTCTGTCAGAATTGGTTAAAACAATTAAGTGTGTTGATTCTACTTATTATACCTTTGTATTTATATCTACTTATTTCTTACTTTCCTGAAATAGTGTATACCATATAAGGTATATGCAATCAACCACAAAAAAATGTTGACGTCATTGTCAATTTTTCGTCACTTGCGAATATTGTGTAGACGAAACGCATGCCAAGCGTAAACCTGGCATCCATGGAATTAATAATATGATCAACTTCACTTTTTTGTTGGCGTCTATTTTTAATTAATGTGTATGTTTGTGATGTATCTTTACGCAGTTGTGGGTGCTGGATCCTAATTTTTGTCACATTAATCTTTTTTTGTCTTTTAGAATTACTTACTCAATTTTGTTAATATAATGGAACTATAAACAAACTGCCATACAAGTGTAAGGTTGACCTAGCTTAAAAACCAACTTTAATCCATCATTGTCTTCGGGAAATGCCTGTACAAAGTCAGGAATATGGCAGTTAGTTATCACTTGTTCCGTTGATTGATAGCGTTTGATTTTGTCAGTTTGTAAAGACTTCCCCTTTTAGAATTTGCCTTTGACTAGTAACAAGTATAAAACAACGGTGAACTACTTTGCCCCTTAACGAATACAATAACATTTGTTTATAAACTTCAAATTTAAAAATTCTACAAAATGTGCCATTAAATAATGCAAACACGAAAACATTGTCTACTCGTGGTAGTAAAAATGAAATCATTTGATTTCAACATAAATCATCTTAAGTGAATAATGTTTTAACTTGATATGATGAACAAATATACCATCAATGTTAAAGGCAACTAATAGACAATGTTTTGCATCTTCATACATATACATCTACTACTTTCTCTAAAAAAAGGTAATACTTAGAGATATTGAAACATATAAAAGTCAACATCTTACATATGTTTCGATGTCTTGTTTACTGAAACAGCGCCCCATTATTGAAACTGGCTGTGTACAAAGAAATCTGAAAAATACCAAAGTAGTACAGGTAGGCGAAAACTATGTTATATCTAAAAATTTTAAAAATTCGTATGGATTGAAAATATGATAACGTTCCACAAAAATTAAAACTAAGCTTTTTTTGTCTTTCCTTTTTGAAAATTAAGAACCATGGTCCTTGATATATTTTTAAAAAGTAGGAGTACAAATACTTTAGCTATTAATGACGATGGTAATAATAATCATAATAATCATAAAAGTAATACAACAAGAAGAAAAGGATGTATGGGATTACAGGCTCAGTTTTAGCGATCTTTTTGTGATATCAATATATTATCAAATGAATTCAAAATTTTGAACTTTTTTTTCTAACAGTTGCGCTTCAGCATTACCCTGTTGTTGTCCTATTTAATGCCTCTGCCATGTTTTAAGTCATATAATTTCTCGAAATTTATATATTTCATTATTAAAATGATAATGACAATAGTACAAGGGTGATTATTTTTAATTAAGTATGGTTGTGTACGTAATAAAATGAACCGCGTGCTTATTCATCATACGATTTAATAGCAAACAAAATGGTTTGTTTTGTTTCTTTGTTGAAACAGTTATTTTTTTTTATAGTGATTAAGATTATATAAAAATGTTGACAACTGTACCCCAATTTTTGACGTTTTTACCTACTATGTCTGTTTGTTTTGATCATTGTTGTCAATAATGTACATGTAGAAAGTATTTACATTTTGCAAAAACAGATGATATCCAAGTTCAAAAAGGGAATGTTCACACATTGTTGTCAATATAATGGATTGTCATACAAGGAAGAGGTTTAGCTAGCTATAAAACCAGGTTTAATCCCCCATTTTCTACATAAAGAAATGCCTGTATCAAGTCAGGACTATGACAGATTTTTTTTCAATTCGTTAGATGTGTTTGAGCTTTTGATTGTGCCATTTTATAAAGGACTTTCCGTTTCGAATTCCCCTTGGAGTTCGGTATTTTTGTTATTTTACTTTTTCTGTGGAGGTTATCAAGATCAGGCATACTTTTGTATCACGAATAACTTCATTATAAGCCGATTTCGTCTTTTAAAGTATAAATTAAAATATTTTTAATTAAACAATGCTTTAAAATAAAAGAAAAACTTAACAAGAGTATGGCGTTTCTTTGTTACCATTGAAAAAGACGTCATAAATAAAATTCATAACATTACTAAAGTAGGATGCGTTTCTGTGAATTTGCATAATAAAAAGTTATATATAGTTAAGCCTTCAGTCATGACGCCAATGATAAAGGCATTTCAAAATATACGGATTGTTTTTACGTTAGAATGGTTTTTCTTAATACTATGATTTGTAAAACTTAAAACAAAAAATGATGGCCTTAGTACAATTGTTTGTAGAATTTATTTTGCAAGAACATTCGGTATTAAAATAATTTATTTTTACAGACCTCGTCTTCTTTCACAGTATCAAAAGCCTCATATTATAAAAAAGACTGTATAACAAAAATAATTAATTTAGATTAAAGTAACTTACGTTTGTAGATTTTTAAACTTTCTTTATGATTGCTCTTACAGAAAGTATTCAGTTGTGATATGCGTGGTTTAGCAGTACAGTAACAAGAAGTTCCCTGTTAAGGAAAACAATCAACTTTGCATATATCTATACATTGTTCATATATTGCCAAATATTTAAACAATGTATGTTGCAGAAACGTTTGAACTTTAAATATCTTTGGTGACACTAGTACAACGACCAAATTCCCTAAAATACTAAAATGCATGTACAATGTACTGTTATATGAATACGTCCTCAACAATTGTAGCAAATCAATAAAACGAAAAATAAATATAAAAACCAATAAAAAGAAAAATAAATATAAAATCAATATGAGCTCAAAATCAATAATTTTTCACATTATCCTGTTCCTGTTCTTGTAACTGCCAGTGCTATGTTGGTAGTCAAACGATTGCCCGCAAATGTGTATACCTGATTACCCAAAAAACTAAAAAAATAGGGACAGCCATACAATGATAAGAAAATTCGTTATGCGGACTTCGTCCTCTTTTACTGGTAACACCTGTCTCACAGTACCGTTTAAAACTAGTTTTAATTCACCATTTTCTACATTAGGAAATGTCTGTACCAAATCAGGAATATGACAGTTGTTTTTAATTCGTTTGATGTGTTTGAGCTTTTAAGTTTGCCATTTATAAGGGACTTTCCGTTTTGAATTTTCCTTGGAGTTCGGTATTTTTGTTATTTTCATTTTTTTAACTGATATGGGCAGCTCAAACAATTTTCCCGTCAAGATGTATTGCATTGCTTAAAGAATTAAATAAATCAAACCGTCGTCCATTTACTGTCTATTTGGAATTTTAAAGTCAGATCTTAATTTCGCATCTAGAAGTTGTACTTCAAATACTAAAAATAATATTCAATGGACCTATCTAAAGCTTTCGAATACATATCTGTGTTTTGTGAATGCATGTAAAACTTTTCTCATTTTGATTAGGCTTGTCTTTTCAATTCGAATTCAACATATACAAAATATGGCAATTTAAATGATCAAACCTGATATATTTTCTACACGTTGTGTTCATCTGGATTCTCTGCTTGCAAAACTGCATATTTGTAACGTTAAATATTTTTCATCCAACATATACTTGATAACAAATAATAACTACCAAAGTAACAATAACACATAACATGTATCATTTCTGCATATGAGACTGGCGTTAATTGTATTACGAAAACCGTAGTAATTTCTCGATACTGAAACTCATCTTTTTTTTAATATGAAAATATATCTTTTTACCTGGTAGAACAATTTTTCATAAAATCAAATAAACGCATATTAAGGCATGAACAAATTAGCATTGAGACAGCTGTTACTATTGTTGCCTCGTGTAAGCCTAATCGATCCGAGTGTGGGATGTCATGTTATCGTCTGGGTCACAGCAAAAGCTGATTGATTATGTATTGTAGTGATGTACAAAGCGGATGACATGCCTGCCAATGGACTATTGATTATAACCTGACTCTAGGTATTTGTCTAGTACACAGCCAGATATTTTTTTCTTTATTGTTGTATCAATAAATAGTATAATGATGAGTACATGAAGTTAAAATATCCATTCGCTTATCTATAACTCAAAACAAGACTTGAAGGACGAACGGTTGCCTATAATTGCTTACATCCCTTTTATTTGAACTTTGGTGGATAGTTGTCTCATTGGCAATCATACCTATCTCCTTGTTTTTATATTGCAGTCATGTTCTGTACAAAACGAGCGCCAGTTTACATGCCAATTTTTTTCTGCACTATTAAGACGTTCCTTAATGCATACTAATTTGAAGTACAGTCGCCGCTTTTAGAATAATGAAAGGTTAATTGGTTTTTTTTTCAGTAAATGTGGAAATTTTAAAAAACGGTACTGTTATACATGAATTTCATTTACATATGTATTAATTGTATTTTTCACGAGTATAGAAAACTAAGTGTTTTTCTTAACACATTTTTGTAATATTTTTCTTTTGACGGCACCTTTTGAATCAGAGAGGCAAAAGATACCAAAGGGACATTCAAACTCATAAGTTGAAAACAAACTGACAATGCCTTGCCAAGTTAACAAATCAAATAAAACACAAAAAAATCAATACTTTGTGTCACAATGAATGAACGATTTTTTTTCTCATAGATAACATATCGTAGGGAAGCAATCTATTGCGACAAAACAAGTAAAAAAAAGAAACCTCTTTTAAATTCTTTAATGCCTTAATTTTGACAAATGGTATAATGATAGCATCTTAAAGAAATCTTGATAATATTGCCGAATGTGTATTTTAAAATTGAATATATTGTATATATTTTTTTATTATCTGCCTCGGAACGTTTTCTTCCATACACGGACGCAGTTTTCAACTGATTTTTACAGTTGGTTCTTATGTTGTGGTGTTACACCACTGTATCTAGTTAGAAGGATGGTTGGGCGCCCGCAAGCATGTTTTAAAACGCCACATTCGGTATGTGCCTGTCCAAAGTCAGGAGCCTGTAATTTAGAGGTTGTAGTTTGTTACTGTATATCATATTTGTTTTTCGTCTATTGTTTTGTACATAAATCAGGCCGTTATGTTTTTCGCTTGAATTGTTTAACATTTTTTTCATTTATGGACCTTTTATAACTTTCTGTCCGGTATGGGTTTTGCTCATTGTTGAAGATAGTACGATGACTTTCAGTTGATTACTTCTATGTCATTTGGTCTTTGGTGGAGAGTTGTCTCATTGGCGATCATACCACATGTACCACATTTCTTTTATATACAAATCTTATACATAAGCAAACTTTTCTCCTATGTTACTCTATTCAAATGTTGATCATAGAACAGAGTACTCGATTAACCGAATGACAGCCTTGCTCTTGTAACAAAATATCTGTTCGGATAAACCCTTAGCCCTTATCTCAAAAGAATGACAATGTTTTGTAAAGAGGCTATTTTGACAGTTCGTGCAATTTACGCTAAATTTAAGAGGTTTGGGGCCCTAAAGCAAGCTCGTTGAAAAAATCAATAATACGAATAATTATGTGTAACATATAACTTTCTTTCAAACATCCAAAATATTTCGGAATACGTTTTGCTTTTCATATTCGAAGGTCAAACAAAAGACATTATCATACCTTCTCCTTCGAAAATAATTATGATAATAGTGAATGACTTTAAATACTTAATAAATAATTTGCAGGCCAGTTGCAGATGAATGGTAAAAACAATGGATAGAAGAATTTTTGATAAAAATAGGTTGTGGGGAATATTAAATAAAACCGCAATCAAACAACCAAACAACATTAAACGGTATACATACAGTCTCCAACAGTTGACAGTTGCCTATATAATCATTGTCTTTCATAGTCTAAACAATTTGAAAAAAAAAGTAACCCATTTGTATACTATATTTAAAGAATACCATGATATCAAAAACATTCAGTAACAAAGGAAACATTTGGGATATATCGCTAAACGGGATTAATTAAAGAACCACATTTATCTAACTACTATAGGAGGTTTAGAAATAATCCGAGTTCATTTAAGAAAATATTATATTTTAATTTTAACATAAATTGTGTACCTTAGTTTGACAGCTATAACGAAATTGTCATTCAAATGAATCAGTGAAAAATTACATAAGATATCACCAAACAATATATTTTCGTTAAACAATGATTACATACTTTGGTTTCATGTCTTCTGAAAATATAAAGAAGCATTTTATTTTTCCAACTCGAAACCATTTTATAAATATGTTCACATATTCAGTGTTATGTTAGATTTGAAGGTCAATGCAAGTTTAAAATGCCTATTCTATGTTTTGAGAAATCGTTGACAAAGGTTTAGTTTTAATCACACCTGTTCGACTTTGGAATGATATACATGAATGTTTTATTTGGAATGTTCTTTATCTGGAAAATGACAGATCCTGCATTATTTTATCAGATATGTAGAAGAAATGAGTAAGAATGCTAACGTTTTACATAGCTCTATATCGAGAACTAGCATTGCATCTTTTGATCGGTGCCTAACATTTGTTTTTATTTTTGTATTCGTCCCTACTAAATCATCAAGTCAGCCACGCAACAATATTGTATTGCACAACCTTACCACCAAAGACAGGCAGCGAATTTGCTGCGTTGAGATTAATGTTGCTGACTAACCTTCACTAGGACCAATATGATGTACACATGTACCTTACTTGCTGTTCAGGTTGGATGGACGTTAGCTGGGAACATATATATATATTATTTTAATCATTGTTGCAACATCTCCTCTTGCCTTTGAGAATGCAAATTAGAATCAAGATACAAAAATCTAGAGAATTTAATGACAAGTTAGAATGGCAACTGAAAAGGTCTGTTTTGACCAATTATGTATGTTATGGAAATGCCAGAAATGTATTTGTTTGCATCTAGATTTAATTTTCAATTAGAAAAATACTGTTCTTGGAAGCCAGATCCATTATCTGCATTTATTTATGCTTTTTGTATAAATTGGTTAAATTTTCTGTTTGTCTATTTGACTCTTCCTTTCAGATTATGAAATCTAATGACCTATCAAAATCAGAGAGGACGGTGCCAGAGGGAATAATACTAGCTCTTTTATGGCAGACACAAACCTGGTTTCCAAGACTCATGCAGTTGTTCACAGACAATTCAATCGTTCTTCCAAAGAGCAATAATATTTTGAGTCTTCCTCACGATCCGCAGTTTGTTCATCCTTTACACATGAAAAGGAAACTAATTGCATGTCCAGTGTCAGGAGAAGATTCAGAGAACGAGGATTTTTTCATGAAACAGTCCACATACTCATGTCGTCTTGGAATCTAGATACAAAGAAACAGTACCAAGTGTATATCAGAAAATGGTTTAAATATTGTAACAAAAGACAAATAAATTGTTTTCAAATTTTTGTAGGAACAGTGCTTGATTTTTTTATAACTGTATTAAAGGAAGGAAATCGTGGATACAGTAGTTTAAATTTGGTTCGAGGGGCACTTTTGTCTTTGGATAGCAGTAGGGCGTCATTTAATGGTGATACGATACATGAAAGGAATTTTTAATCTTCGTCCACCCAGACCTATATATGAATCTACATGGGATGTTAGTAAAGTGCTTTATTTTTGGCGTACCTTATCACCAGTGAAATATTTGAAATTGAAAGATTTAACATTAAAACTTACTTTGTTAATAGCTTTGACAATTGCAGCTTGAGCTCAATCAATTCATTTAATGAATATTAATCATGTACATAAAGTGAAGGGATAATTTTTGTTTTTGTTTTGAATGGACTTAAAAAACAAAGCCAACCTGGTTATAAGGAACCGACTGTAAATATAAAGACTCTTCCTCTAGATAGGAGACTTTGTGTATACACGGTGCACCAAGAATATGTATTTCTTAGAAGGTAACATAACCGTTACTTTTAAGTTATGTCAAACCATA